TTTTTGGATCATGAATCACAAGTAACTTTTCTTTAACACGGTACTATGTGACACATGCTCCTCCTTTCCTTTGCAGAGTTTACTTGAACTGGAAGTAGATTTGGATAATTTAGAACTAGAAGATATTGACACAACAGATATCAACCTGGATGAAGATATTTTGGATGACTAAATGTAATGTTTCCAATTTATTCAACTAAACAGATCGTTATTATGGGCAACTATTGATCGTCACCCTGACCACAGTGCTTTGGACTCAGAAACTTCAGGTTTTTTTTGTATGTAAATGCTGTGGCCCACTGGGAGCAGAGCGCCCTCCTCATCTTCGGAGGAGTTTATGTGTGGCATCTAAATCACTGTGTCTTTCTTAACTAAAACAGTTGTGGGTTTTTTTTTTTTTTCATACTGTCATTAGACCATATCCCATAAAATATTTTGAATTAATGAAGATACTTCAAAGTTTCCTTTCTGCATAATGAAAACAGGCTTCTAGTTTTAGAAGGCTAAGGCAAAACTATGCCTCCTTAGGGATCAGCCCACAGTCTCTTTGCTTTGAATAACTATTTTCAAGTATCAGTCACATTTTCCTTAGACCCAATTACCCATGCTGTAATTCTCTAACCCTTTTTCTTGACCTCACTACATCAGTCCCCTCAGTCTATGTAGCTTTCTCATGTCTTGCCCTGATTGTGTCTGGAATCGGGGTCTGAAACCCCAGCTCCTCTGACCTCATAGCTGGGCTCTACTTAAATTACCAATTGGCACATTTGGTAACACAAAAAGGCTTAGTACTTTCCTTTTTTTTTTTTTACACACTATACTCATCTGACATAAGAAACTGATAACCAGGCACTCAAATATACTTCCTAATTACCCCTTGGTAGCCTAGCAAAGTGAATGGAGTAACAAGTTTTTCTTCGTGTTTCTGTCAGTCAGAGGCACTGTTTGGAATTTAAAAAACAAATTCTATAAGGAGCTCCCAATTTTGACATTTTTAAACAGCTCAATATTAACAGAAAAAACTAGTTAATATTTAGTAAAATGAAATTTATTTTTAAAATATTTTTAGGAAGCTGCAGAATGGCTAATGAATGCTCCTTGATAAGCTTGCAGTGTTAATTCTATATATGCTCCCTTCTGTGCTTCTGTTTTTGCAAAGACCTGTTTAAATTAAAAAAAAGAAAGTTTTAAAACAGTAGGACTTATACTGTTGATAAAGTTTTTCGTTTTTAGTTATAAACGTTGCTGTAGTAGCAAAGAATAAGTACCAGTTTATAAAGCCTTCCACATTTCATAATATTGTTCAGATTTCAAACAGTAAGCATACTACACGCACAGAAAAACAGTATGACAGCTAAAGCAATACTAATAAACACCAGAAGTGTTCGAGTATGGCTTTCAGAAAAAATTAAGAAAACCTGACATTGTACCTCCTGCTGGATCAAAATGAAAACCTTTAGGTTCCAGAGAAATCTGGAGGATGAGCGCCAGCAAACTAGTTTCTCACTCACTTCAAAGAATGGTTTCTAACCCTCCTGTGTACGGTGTCACCACTGGTGGTTTTTTACCGTTAGTAACCTTTATAACTGCTTTGCAGTATGCATAAAATAATGTGAGGACAGAACCCAGGCCCACAAATACGTGCCTGTTCTGAGCATTAAAAAGGTGAAAATTAATTATACAGTGGTTTTCCCTTCCCTACTGAAAAAAAATCATCTCATCTCTCAACATACACAGAGACATCTGTGAAAGCTCACAGCATTGAGAGGTACGCCACCCACAGTGATGATGCAGCTAAGCCCTGGCGTTGCACAGGCGCTCCCTCCCTGCTTCCAGACACCTGAACAGGAATGCAATGGAACTGAAGGACAGGAAGCCCTCCAGCGCACTGCTGGTGGCCTGACCACCTCAGGTGCCAGTACTGCAAACAAGGGGGCTGCTGCCCCGCTGTCTGAACTTCCTGGACTCCAGCTACAGCTCCCCGACCCCATCCCGTCTGTTCCTGTTGTCCAGATGGAAGAAATATGGGGGCTCTAATCAGTCTGGTTCAAGACCACGAATCTGTTACCGTTAAATATGACCCACTTCAAAATCCTTCCCAGCTCAATCACTACACTACAGTGTGAAAAAAGTCCCTTTACCTTAATTAAATGCAGTCCCTTGGCAGCCTGCTCTTTGGCCTCTTGAGCTGACTGGCCATCTGGATGGAGGAGGTGATAGAGCTGGACCAAGCTGGCGGCATCATCAACTCTACAAAGCGAGAGGGTTTACTGGTAAAAACGGTTACCGTTTTCTTTTGCGTCACAGTCCTACAAGTGTCCCAAACTTTACATTTCAAACTTTCCTTCAGCCAGGAAAAAAAAAAGTAAAGCCTTTGGTTTCATATTTTGGGCACTTTCAGGAATTTAGGCTTCATACCAACTCTGAGATGGGTAGGGCAGGAGTCAATACAGGAGTGCCCAACTTATGAAAGTGAATATATTTAAATGTGGCTGTATCCTTTTTGGAAATGGAGCATCATTTTTCATGGAAACAGCATTCCTAATGTTTCGTAGCTGGTTCCCAGGCCAGCCCACATCACCTGCAGATAAGAATGTAATCCAACTTGGAGGTGGGACTGCACCCCGTGTAAGCCAGAGGCTGGTAGGCATGGGGCTACTCAAAGCCACTTGCCTTTAGGGACGTTAGCAGGGACATCTGCTAACGAATTTTCACTGAGACTCTGAATTAGTGGCTAAGTGCCTCTACAAGAGGCATCCTAGAAGTCCAAGGAAAGAATCCCAGGCTATCTGTCTATTCAGAAGAACCCACTAGTTAAAAATTAGCATCTTAGGGAAGCAAATTTGAAATTATGCACACCAGACAGGAGGAAAATCTACTTTAGTTGCACACAACTATCTATGATGAAGCCCGAACAAGAGTTCAATTCTTACGGTTTGTACTTAACCTTTTTAAAAACCTATAAACAATTTTTATCAACATTAAAACCTAGCTTTCCCCAAACTACAGAATCACTATCCTCTCACATAGTCAACACCTTCCTACCATTTGCTACCTCAAAGCTGAAAAGGCATATAAAAATGACCCTTCTAGAGTCGGGGGATGGTGGGAGCAGGGTAAAAAATTTCTCAAGCCATGGTGACCTTAGAGAAATGCTCTTGGCTCATCCCAAGGCCTGTCCACCTTAAAGGCCATCTGGTAGAGCTGAGTAATCAAAACTTCCCTGGGCAAAATTTTTTAAAATATATTCATTAAAAATCTATTGTGTTTTTTATAATCTACCAGTCCATTATTGCACATTATCTAATGTAGAACAAAAGACAACAGTAATTCCCTTCAGCGCACAGGCATATGAACCCATAAAGAGCTTAACTAGGTTTCCATATATGAGTCATGCTTAGGGCATTACATTCACACTAGAGCACAACGCCTGTGTCTCACAAAACAATTTAGCTCACCCGTATTTGAAATTAAGAGTAAATTTACACGTTCAAAAAAGATTTTAAAAGAATCTCAATTCAAAACTAACAGTGGGGCTCGAGTATGAAATAAATGTGCAGAATCCCAGTTCTGGTCTGGGTTCCATTCACTGAGGACATGCGCCCTCTACTGTTTACCTTGTGGTTTGCAGCAAACTGTCCTGTTGAAATCCTCACAGGAAGTGTTACTTCTGCAGAGCAGGAAGGCTAAGTACTCACAATTCCCTCCCGGCATGCAGATGAACTGCTCCAGATGTAAAGCTCATGTGTGATGACGATTACTGTAATATCACTTACCAGTACACCTCAGTAAAGAACTTTAACTTTCAAAGAAATACAGTTCTGTGTTCTAACTGCTTACAAAAAATGTTTCATTTTTTAATACTTAAAATAATTTCATAATATTCACATTTGAGAAGCTTTATAAGAAAATTCATTCACAGGAGATGTCACTGCTAATGCACCTAAAGGCATGTCATGTTCGAGCATCCCCACACCCAGCAGCAGCCCCTGCTTACGGGGGAATTTCTGCTCTCCAAACTCGATTACACCACGCATGCTGGTGAGGAGGGCTGGCCTGGGAATCATCTACCGTTACGAAAGATGTTTCAATGAAAATTATGCTGTTTCCATATGGGCTGTATTTTGTAGATAATACAGAACCTTCTAGTTCCAAATGCCTCACCACTATGTGAGTGGTTCGGATTACATGGACGATACTGAGTCAAAACTCTTACAGTTAAAGCGGCAATAATCACTAAACCCTCTTAGTGACTTTCTTACTACACTCGTGACTGGTTTCTATTCCTTGTCCTTTTGGCCTTTAACTCAACCAATAGAAAGATACTCAAAACCAGTTTTCTCTTCAGTTTCATCACAAGTGGTGAGGGAGACTTATTTCAGCTAGAAGGCTAGGTGTACACCAGTTGCATGCTAGAATACAACAGACATTCTTTGTTTCACCCAACTTTGAAAAAAAAACTTTTTCAATGCTTTAAAAATCTTACAAAAACAACGAGGATCAAAAGCAAGAGCATTTTCATAAATTGAATGATGACTTTTACTGAAAAGCCCTAGAAATAGTCCTACCGGAAAACAAGCACCCATCAGGGCTCACGTCTACTTTTTCACATCTATTTAGTCCCCTGTGAGTATGTGGAAAGTTCACTGTTAGCCAGAAGTACCGGTGAGGCCAGGGGTAAGTCAATATCCAGGGTACGCAGTACAGGTCCAAAGCCACTTACTCTTTAAGAGAATCTAGCCCTGTTTATACAGTACAAAAGCAAAGACTGAGAAAACTGGGTTATGCTGGAAGAACAATCCCATAATTAAACTGAGGGAAGTGAAAGCTATTTATCACTGGACAGCACACTGCTATCACTGAAAAAGTAACAGCTTAAGTACAGGTATACGGTAATAGTAATATGAATTTCTTTTACTTACTAAGATCATACTTACAAATCTCTCTGAATCTGGTCAATCAGTAAACCATCAATCTTCTTCTTATTTACAAAATACCAAGCCATTCCACCGAAGTGTCTTGTTGAACGTAGAAGGTCATACTTTCCATATTTATCTATATCTTCATAGGTCTGATGATGAAACTATCCACACAAAATGCAGTTTTTAAGAAGTAGGAAAATAAGCAGAAGTGAGCAGCATGACTGGATATACATTTACCAGCGTGCAAGCTGCCCAAGGAATTATCAGTAAAACCAGGTCTACTTACACCTGCCTCTGTAATCATGAACCAACAGCTATGGTTTAGACCAACCCTCCACCGCGGAAGTGTGTGGAGCCTGGGACAGGTCTGCCAAACACTTAGAGCCACATCAATTACCGTTCAGCAGCCGCACACTATTTAGGAAGCACCTATTATATACGTGTACGGACACTGGAAATAATGGACCACCATTTCTTGGTCACTAGGGGAAAAAAGAAATCAAGAATATTCCTTCCCTCTTCCCCTTCCCCTATTCCGTCAGCCACCCTGTTCCATCTTGTTAACTCATGTTCCTCCAGTTCTTCTTCCAGATCGATCTTCCTAAATGAGGACTCTGACGAGGGCATTCCTGTGTTCAGAAGGCTTTCAAAGGCTGCTGACTGAAGTCCACATTCCTCAGCCTGGCACTTGAGGTCTCCTGTGACATGGCCCCATCCACCTTCCTAGCTTAATCTGACCCGCTCCCCCACATACACACTGCACTCACAAGTAGACCAGATAACTGGCCATTTCTCAAGTACACTTTCTCTTTTCCTGCCTACTGTTCGTATTTTCCCCTCTACCTGAAGACCTCTCCTCACCCACCTCCACCTGCCACAATGTTCCCCACCCTTCTAGAACCCTCCTCAGGAACCCTATGAAGCCTTTCCTGAGAGCACACTGTAACCTTCTCCTAGCACCTAACATCTCAGACCTATGGTGATAATTATCTGTATCCTTACCCAGCACCCTTCCCCACAATCATTTCTGGACTGCAGGCTTCGACAGGATTCGTGCCATCACCTCCACAAGAACGCCTTACACATGGAAGGTACTACGTGACTATTACATTGAATTGTGAGACACATACACTGCGTTCTGGCAAATTTTAGAAAATAACTTTCCTGTGTAATAGATTGAAAAAAGAACAGTCTCTGCCATCAAGTTTGGGTCCTAACTCTACCACTCACTAGCTGTATAGCTTTCAACAAGTCACTTGGGGAAGGCACAGCTGGGTGGCAGAGGGCATGCTAGCGTGCACCAGGTCCTGGGTTCAATCCCCAGTACCTCCATTAGAATGAATGAATGAATAAACCTAATTACCTCCCCTCCCCTCCCCCAAAAAACCCAAAAAACGAGTTACTTAACCGTCCAAGCTTATGTCCTTTCATCCTTGAGTCAAGGGTGGTCATGAGGATGAGAATACCCACCTGGTGTACATCAGGTTCTCAACAAGTGTTCAGGTATTTCCCTTCCCTCCCCTCTGTACCAGAACTTACAACCTTACTCATTGTGCTAGATTTAAGCATCTTACTCACAGCCATACTTAAGCCCATACTTCAGAAACTGCAAAATATACTCACTTTGATATATTCAGCAGAATCTGGCTCAAACTGGGCAACGCAGAGATCGAGGACATCAGCATGCCGGTCCTGGCTGTACATGGTCTAAACCCACACAGCAGAGGCGGAATTAGATGAGAACAGGAAAGTGCAACACCCGTCCTGACGCCACAACAGGCCTGCCCGTCGGCACAAGGGCTGCATCTGTGCCCACTGGGAGGGACGCACAGACAACACGGGCTTTGTCACACCTTCATTCAAATCCCAGCTGAGAATTATGAGACAGAAAACCCTACTTATCATTCAAAATGTCTATCTGTGTTTATCAAAGCAAAAGGCCCAGCAGCACCAGAGCCAACTGGTTCAACAGAGAGACCATCACTAACCAGGGTCACCTTACCTGAAGATTTTCGTCCTTGAAAATTACTGGAGTTAAAACTCTACGACCTTCTTTTGGGAAATAAATTTGAATCATCCGGTCCCGTTCCTCCCAAGAGGCTTTGCGTAGTGTGCCACTTGGTTCTCTGACAACAATAAAACGCTCCTGAAAGAGAAAACATAACCGAGGATGAGCCTGTGAGAACTTATGTTCAGTTCCACTGTCCCCCTAAGCACCACTATAAGAACAATTTGCAATCAACAATACAAAATGCAACCAGGAAGTATAAAATGCGATCATGTGTATGATTTCAATGATAATTTTAAACCTCAAAGACTTGGCAAGACTTGATATTTCCTTCACAAATCACCGCTGTGCCACTGACAATCAGTAATCTTTTAGTATGAAAGGTTTTTCAGTATGAAATGAAAGTATTTACTAAGGGCAAACTACAGTCCTCAAGTGGGTTCAATATATAAAATGATTCCACTAAAATAAGTTGATTCTGAGATTCATCTAAATCCACTTCAGAGGAAAGACGTGCTGTAAAGCCTTTTTGAATTGTTCCACTACCCCATCATCCGGAAGTCTCACCTAGGAGGACGTCACTACTTTATGATCTGCGTTTAAAGTCCCAGGATAAAAGGAACAAACCCAAGACTGTGGAGTCTTTAATTCCACACGTCTACGCTTCCTCATACTGGCAGGAGACGAATGTGTTGGAGAAACCACTGGCCCACCTGCCTCTGGTCTCTCTAGACTTCCAGCTGCCAAGTCCCAGGTCACACGGTCACTTCCTCCACTAAATTCCACCCAGTCTCTACCACTCAACTGGCAATTTATCATGTGCAAGATTCTTAACACCTCTCAGATATTGTCACTATTGTTACAGAACTGAAAAATGTCAGGACCTGTGGATTATAGTTCTTTGCAACACCCAGAATGACTTTGCCAGAGCTTTGCACGTGGCAGATGAATGATACACATCTGATTAACGTTTAAACTAACAGATGGTACTGACTCTCAGCTCTTCAGAGGTATAAGAGTCTCTGAGTGTATTTTGAGGATAATATAATTAAAACTTTCATCAAGCACTGCAAAGAGGAAAAAAAAATAGCAGATGGCAAAGTAACACAATTGTTCCTCAAAAGGAGTTTGGTAATCTGAATTCCAAGTTCCTCTCCTGCTGTCAGGTTACAGAATGCGCCCACAGCCAGCCTCCACAGCACTGCAAACACACATGAAAGTACCTCAAAGCAAAAATTCTAAAGGTTCATTATGTCAGATAAACAGGTGGCCGAGGTACAGACACAGACGTTGTTCAAAGCAGGTCTTCTAACCAGAATCGAGCAGGATAAAAAGGTTAGGATGGGTTGGCCCTTTCCCCAACCCTATTACTATGCAATATTCTACTGAGTTCTGTGGGCTGAATTGTAAATTCCTCTTTTTACTCTTTACTTGAAAAGGCTCAAACACAAAAGTCATATGTAAGTATGACAGTGTACCTTCGGCACTGGCAACCAAGGGAAGGGGAGCTAGAGAATTAAAAAGAAAACAGATGAAGTGGTGCTGTCCGAAAACCTTCTGGGGAAATCGTCGCTCTTCCTGCAAATTCTGCAAAGTGAAAATCCTTTGGGAAGTCTGAGATTTGGGAGCATCATCAAGAATTTACGGGAAAGAAACGCTCCATCTTCTCCAAAAGCTTCAGCTAAGGAAGTCAGTCTAACTTGGGCAGAAAGAATCTCCCTTTTCCCACTGCCTTGGAGATTTTTGCCTATTGGTGGTTTGGGGGTGGCCTTCTGTCTTGTTCTGTCTCAGCACACCCGTCTCTTTCTCTGCAGTCAGTCTGGAACATACTGTGTCCATAATCCACAGGGAAATGGAGACGTGCCGATGGGGTGCTGGTCTGCATTTTCCTCTCTTACTCTGCGCCTGCCAGGTCTCCCCGTGAATCACAGAAATTCGGGTTTTTCCAAGCAGCTGGGTCACATGATGTTGACCTTTGTCCCTCAGGCCTATCTCCACATAGTATTTCAAATAAAGATCATTTTGCGATGAAATGTGTACTTACCCGGTGTGGTGTGCTGTATGATATATCAGTAAACACATATTTGGCTGTTTCTGTTCCTTCCAAAATCTTATCTTCAGCTAACACATCATTTATCGGGGCTCGCTCTTCCAGAACTGGTGGCATTTTTAATAGGACTTTAGCTGCCTCAACTGCCTTTCTTGTAGCCTATTGAAACACAATATTTCTTAGGGAAAGTCACAAGGTTAAAGACCAAAAGGATCACCTGACAAAAGCAGATATTGATCCAAAATGCTAAGGACTGCAAAGAGAAGAAGCTAGAGCCATGAATCAGTGGGTGAAAAGCCAGACTTGGGCTCCTGGGCCCTGGCCTTTCCCTCTGCGGTGTGTGGCGTGGCTGAGGGCACCAGCTACAGGGTCAACCCTTCTCAAAACAGCACAGGGATGCTCTGAGACAGAGCAAGACATCAGAAGCTGCCTGAAACAGACTAAAGGATTTCACTAATTGGGGGCTTACTACGTGCCAGATATTGTTCAAATACTTTAAGGCATTTGGCTCATTTCATGCCCACAACTACCTTATGAACTAAGTGCTACTGTTACCTCATTTTCTGAGAAGGGAAATAGAGGCACACAAATGTTAAGTAAACTGCTAAGCTGCAGCACGGGGATCTGAACCTCAGGCAACTTAACTCCAAAGCCCACACCCTCAACCCCTGAGCACACCGAGCACATAACTCCATGCCCTACTGTTGACAGCGATCACCTCCGAGGGGCAAAAGGGGGATTTTCACTCTTCATGTGATACACTAGTAGGTATTTGAATTTTTTTGCTTTACTAATTATTTCTGATTATAAGAGCAGTAATACTTCACATATTCATACACCAAAGCATTTCCCACTCAATAACCATGACTCCAGGAGGACACTTGCCTGGAGTAGGATACTGTTCAGAAGGATCTCATAATCTCACCAAAGCCTCGGCCTCAAAGCAGCTACCACAAACGTTTTTCCAGAAGGAGGCTGGAGCAGGCAGGACAAAGGAAGGATGCTCAGGCTGGTTCTGGAGCAGAGGCAGCTCTGCCTGATACCCAGACCTGACCCACATGTCTAGTCTGCCTAATTCTGGCCACACTCCCTACTCCTCTCTGCCTGCCTGCTCGCATTTCTTCCCTCAGTTCTGTGCCTGGGACTCCCTGTCATCAGTGCCTGTGGAAGAGCAGCTACAGCATCTGGAGGGGCCCTGGCAATCTTGTTTAATCCTTTAAAGACAGGGTATTTTACCAATATTCCTCATTCATGTACCTCTTCCAGCTGTGCTTGGGTCATCAGCTTATAAGTTGGTGGCTTCAGTTCTTGTATGGCTGGCTTAAAAATCTTCTGCAAATCCAAGCCTGTCATCTTGATGAGTATGCTTTGGACTTCCTCATCCATAAATGTAGGTTTCTTGGTCTCTGAGCTACCAGATTCTGTTAAGATGGATTTTAGTAAATAACATAGCAAAAGTGACAAGCCAACAAGACCTCCAAATGGAAAAGTAAGTCAGCAATAAAAATGACCAACACAATACCTCAGTATGCATAATGGTAAGACCTACAAAGATCCATTCATTTAAAATTTACTGAGCATCCACTATGATAAAAAATGGACTTCCAAAAAGGCACTCAAAGTCTAGAGGAGGAAGTAATAGGAAAAAGGTAGTTAGTGCACTATTAATAACAATAATGGATGCTACCATTTACAGAGTTGTCTCCTATATGCCAGGTATCACATACATTTGCAGGAATGCTTACAACAACCCACAAAACAGGTAATGATATCCCAATTTTGTAAATGAGGATACCAGAACCTGCCTAAAGGCAACTAGGTATTAAATGATAGAGCCAGGATTTAAACTGAAGTTTATCTGATTCTAGAGCCTAGGTCAACTCCAATCTACCACCATGCTCCTCAGAGTTAAGGGCTACGTACATGAGACGTACAGGGAGTTATATGATTACAGAGGAAGAAAGTAAACATAGCCTGGAACAAAGAAAGGCCTGTTAGGGTCAAAGAAGTCTTCCCAGGGGCCAGAAAAGGGGAGAAAAGGGAAGGAAATCCTAGGCTGAGGGGTTCCAGCTAAGAAAGAGAACTGAGTCACTGGACATGATACTTAAGAGGCCACGTGGTGTCATGGAAGAAACTTGGACAAGAGAGGAGACCCAGATCTCAACTCTGCCTTATGCAGTTTGTCTATCCCTTTGCCCAACCCTCCATTTCCATTAGGAATAAAAAAGCCATTCCTTTCCTACCACCTTTTCCCCTGCTAATCCTGTAAATGCTGGTGTCCCTCAGGATTCTGAACTTCCTTTCTCCCTTCTCACATTCTCGATGGATGATCTCCTGACCTCCTATAACTAGAATTACTTCTATATGCTGGAGACTCCAGCCAAGACGATCTTCCACCCAACTACCCACTGCACATCTCACATGCACTTCAATATTCCCAAAGCAGAGCCCACGACTTCTCACCTGGCTCACATGTGCTTTCCTACTATCCCTGTCTCAGCACCATCCAACAGGTTACATGGGCCAGAAACCTACCGTCATTCCTGACTTCTCCTTTCCCCTCCACGTCTAGCCAAAAGCAGCAGTAATGACAGCAGTAATGACAACAGCTGATATCTGTGAGATATTTACTATGTGCCAGTACTTACTAAGTACTTTATATGCTTAGCACATTTAATCCTCGTAACAACCCCATACATACTATGATTATCCCCATTTTACAAAAGGGGACACTGACACAAAACATCCTGCCTGTTACACCTCATAAATCAGTCTTGAATCCTCCACTTCCCACTGCCACTACCCTAGTCAAGGCCATCATATCTCCTTCTGTAGCCCCCTACCCTATTTCCCTGCCTCCATTCTGACCATTCTCCACAGAACAACGGATTCATTTCTTAAAAATGTAATCTAAACAACAGAAAAGATGAATAAGACAAAGAGTTGGTGTTTTGAAAAGATAAACAAATCTGACAAACCTTCAGCTAGATCAGGGAAAAAGAGACAGGACCCAAACCAACCAAATTATAAATGAAAAAGACATTACAACTGATACTACAGAATTACAAAGGATCATAAGAGGCAACTTTAACAATATGGCAACAAATTGGACAACCTAGAAGATATGGAAAAATTCTTAGAAACATACAATTTACCAAGACTAAATCAGGAAGAAATAGAAAATCAAAACAGACCTATTACTGGTAAGAAGATAGAATCAGTAATTTAAAAATTTCCTAATAAAGAAAAGCCCAGGACCAGATGGCTTCATGGGTGAATTTTACCAAGCATTTAAAGAATTCATACCAATCCTTCTCAAACTCTTCCAAAACATCAAAGAAGAGGGAACACTCCCAAACTCATTTTACAAGGCCACCATTATCCCGATACCAAAGCGAGAAAAGGATACTAAGAGAAAACTACAGGCCAATGTCCCTGATGAATACAGAGGCAAAAATTCTCAATAAAATACTAGCAAACTAACTTACCAGAAAATTAAAAAGATCATTCACCATAATCAAATGGGATTTATTCTTGGGATGCAAATGGGATTTATTCTTGGGTTCAACATACTCAAATCAATCAATGTGGTACATCATATTAATAGATGAGAAAAAAGTCATACGATTACTTCAATAGATGCAGAAAAAGCCTATGACAAAGTTCAACATCCATCCATGTTTAAACCTTCTAAAATAAGGTACAAAAAGAACATACCTCAACATAATAAAGGCCATATATGACAAATCCACAGCTAGCAACATACTCAATGGTGAAAAGTTGAAAGCCTTTCTTCTAAGATCAGGAACAAGATAGGGCTGCCCACTCTCACCACTCCTATTCAACACAGTACTGGAAGTTCTAGCCAGCGCACTTGGGCAAGAAAAAGAAATAAAAGGCATCAGAATTGAAAAGGAAGGAGTAAAACGTCTCTATCTGCAGATGATATGATTTTATATACAGAAAATTCTAAAGACACCATCAATAAACTATTAGCTCTAATCAACAAATTCACTAAAGTTGCAGGATACAAAATTAACACAAAAACCAGTACCATTTCTATACACTAACAACAAATTATCTAAAAAAGAAATAAAGCATCAAAAACAATAAAATATTTAGTAATAAGTTTAACCAAGGAGAGGAAAGACTGCTATACTGAAAACCACAAGACCTTGAAAGAAATCAAAGACACAAACAGATGGAAAGGTATTCAGTGTTCACAGATTAGAAAAATTAACATTGTTAAAATGTCCATACTACCCAAGGCCATCTATAGATTCAATGAACCCCTATCAAGATTCCAATGGCATTTTTTACAGAATTAGAAAAAACAATCCTAAAATTTGTATGGAACCACGAAAGACCCTGAATAGCCAAAGCAATCCTGAGAAAGAACAAAACAGGAGGCATCACATTTCCCGATTTCAAGCTATATAATCAAAATAGCATGGTGCTGGCATAAAAACAGACACATAGATCAACGGAATAGAGAGTGCAGAAACAAACTCACGCATACACAGCCAACTAATACTTGACAAGGGAGCCAAGATACTCAATACAGAAAAGACGGTCTCTTCAATAAATGGTGCTGAGAAAATTGGATATTCACATATAACAGAATGAAACTAGACCCCTATCTTACGCCATTCACTAAAATTAACTCGAAATGGATTAAAGACTTAAATGCAAGACCAGAAACCATAAAACTCCTAGAAGAAAACATAGGAAAAAAGCTTCTTGACATTGGTCTTGGCAATGATTTGTTTGTATATGACACCTAAAGCACAAGCAACAAAACTAAAAATAAACAAGTGGGACCACATCAAACTAAAAAGCTGCTGCACAGCAAAAGAAATAACCAACAAAATGAAAGATAACCTAGAGAATGCAGAAAAAAATATTTGCAAACCATGTATCTGATAAGGGGTTAATATCCAAAATATATAAAGAACTTATACAATTCAACAGCAAAAAAACAAATACTCCAATTAAAAAATGGGCAAAGGACCTGAATAGACATTTCTCCAAACAAGATGCACAAAAAGCCAACAGGTATATGAAAAGATGTTCAACATCACTAGATATTAAGGAAATGTAAATTAAAGCCACAACGAGATATCACCTCACACATCATCATCAAACGATGTTAGAATGGCCATCACCAAAAAGACAAGAGATAGCAAATGCCAGTGTGGATGTGGAGAAAAGGGAATCCTTGTGCACTGTTGGTGGGAATGTAAACTGGTACAGTCACTATGGAAGACAGTATAGAGGTTCCTCAAAACAAAAACAAACAAACAAACAAAACTACCATATAATCCAGCAATCTGACTTCTGGGAATTTATTTGAAGGAAATGAAAACACTAAATTGAAGAGATATTTGCACTACCACATTAAGAGCCGTATTATTTACAATAGCCAAGACATGGAAACAATCTAAGTATTGATTAATGAATAAAAGGATAAAGATGTGAGATTATATATATATATGTAAAATATAGTAAATGATAAATAATTTTTTGACAGTTTAAAGACAGCTTAAAAACATATGAAAGGTGGTTCTGTTAGAGTAGACACTCTTAATATCATCCTGTCTTCACAGTAACTGAGAGAGAAAATCTAATTATTATTGGTGAGAGGTATTCCAAAGATCACTTACTAGTGAAAAATCACAGCTGTCAGAGAAGTTTAAAATTTACTTAACATATAAAATAATACACACACACGGAATATTTTTCAGCCACAAAAAAAGGAGAAAATCCTGCCATTTGTGACAACATGAATGGACTTTGAGGGTATGCTAAGATAAATAAGTCAGGCAGAGAAAGACAAAAACTGTATGATCTCATTTATATGTGGAATCTAAAACAACAACAACAAAAACTCATAGAAAAAGAGACCAGGTAACACCAGGGTGGAGGGAAGGGGAGGTTCTGATAATTGGATGAAGGTGGTCAAATGGTACAACTTTCAGTTATACAATAAATAAGTACTAGGGATGTAATGTACACTATGACTACAGTTAACACTGCTGTATGGTATATATGGAAGTTGTTAAGAGAGTAAACCCTAAGAGTTCTCATTACAAGGGAGTTTTTTTTTTCTTTTTTTGTATTTCTATGAGAGGACGGATGCTAACTAAATGTACTGTGGTAATGATTTTATTATATATGTAAATCAAACCATGCTGTACACCTTAAACTTACACACTGCTGCAAGTCAATTACATCTCAATAAAACTGGAAAAAAATTTTAAAAATTTAATCAAGATCACTCCCATGTTTAAAAAAGCTAAAGTGATCTGCTTACTTTGCTGTGTCCCCACTAGACTATGTGCTCTCCCAGTACAACCTTGTCTTGTATTGGTCTCTGGCATCCAGGGTCCCTTATAGTGCCTGGCAAACAATACGTGCTTAGCACTACTCTTTCTTCAGACAGTCTCACCCATTCCCGCAGCTTCAGTTACCATTTTCACCCCAGTGTTTCTCAGTTTATATGTACCTACATATCAGAAATGTACTCAAATTTAATGTGCCCAAAACAGACGTTTAATTCTGCTTCCACTCCCATCTCCTTACCTCATCCAGTCCTGCCTTTTCTCCCCCACTTCTCCTCCTCTCCCTCCCCTCGGAAAAAAAAATGTTCTATAATTAATCTTCTCTGTCTTGTTTTCTCCCTAGCATGGTTAACTAGGTCTCAGCTTTGGTCATATTTTCAAGAAACTGTGCCCTGCCCTTCCAACCTAGTTTGAGAGCCACTCCTCTGAGTCGCCCTATCACAGTCCAGGTCATACTGCGCTGCCACTCCCCAGTGGGCTACGAGTTCCTTCAGGGCAAAACCCGTGTCAGTCAGTCCGCCGTATTCCCTAAACCTAGCTCGGTGCTTGCCAAAGGGAGCCCAGGCACTACTAATTAAGTGAGGGAACGAATGAACAAACGCGGGGGACGACAGAGCCTGCGGGTACAGGAGAGAGCCGCCTGGGCCTAAAGGTGCGCTGCGGGAAGAGCCGGGGCCCCCCACGTGTGTCTCGCCAGGCTGAAGCGGGCTCCAGGTCTCCCAGGAAAACGCCCCAGCGGACGACCCACGGGTCACTTACCGGCCTCGGAGCCGAGCCCACGGCATGGCGTTCCCGCCCCGCAGGCCCCGGGCAGAGGCTGGAGCAGAGCGATGGGCTGGGGCCGAGCTCGGGCGCGGGAACAGAACCGGCCCGCGCCCGGAGAACCTCTCCGGAGGCCCCACAACGACGCAAACGCCCTGAGGGTCGCCATAATTATCCGGACCACTGACGCCGGAAGCAGCTGACAGCGGTTCCGGGTCTCGCGCCGTTCGTATGGCATTCTGGGAAATGTAGTCTGGATGAGGGAGGAGGGAGCCGGAAGCGATGTAGCTTAATGTTTATAAAACAGTAACATATAAAATCTATAAAATAATGTTATTGTTAATCTAGAAAACAAAACAAGTGTATAGATTGTTTCTTATAAACCGATTTTTCACAAGTAGAAGGTGTTTATGTTCTCCTTTTTCAGGGACCTTTCCTTCGTTTCCATGGCTCTAAATAACAAATTTCCATTTCCTGCCCAAACCTTTCCTCCCAGCCCCAGGTTTAAATCCAACTGCCTATTCGACTTCTCCATTCAGACTTCTCACAGGACCCCTCCACACCTGTCCACTCCTCCCCACCCCAAATACCACCTGATAACAAGTCCTGATTACCACCACCACCATCATCCTGCATCAACTTATACACCTTTTTCTGTCTCAGAACGATCTTACTTTCTTTCACAGACTTTTTCTCAGTTTGTGATTATTCTGCTCAATTATCTGCTTGCTTTTGTCATGCCATGAAGACAATGACTTTATATATTGTATAACACCTAGCCCAATAATATATTGATGTGCACAGCAAACATTTGTTGAATAAATGACTAAATGAATGATTAAAGGATCCTGTTATTTTCTTCCCAGCTGTCCAGGATGTGCAGGTTTTATCCTCCCCTAGACTAGGTTGGTGCCTGTGTTAAGAACTTATCTCAAGGCCTGGCTAAAGAAGGGTGTTAAGTAAATGACTGTTTGAATTAGTCAGACAGGTAAACTCATCTTCTAACCTCACCTCACCCGCTGCCCATTAAGAGCTCCATTTATGAACTCATTCTCTATCCGGGCAGGGAAGGAGAGTCCTCGTCTTGGTACTGCACTCAGGCATGACTGTTACCCAGTGCTTCCTAACACTTCCTCTTACATCTACATGATAAAAGGTGTCAGGGAGTGGTAGTGGAAGGCATGCAAGTGTCTCCCAGTTATGCCTTTCCTGTGAGAATACACCACCTATTTTCCCAGCGGATAGGCATCTGTGGCTGTGTATTTCCCATTAACATCCCCCTGGATAAAACTGATTGGACTGTGAGTGGACATAACGCAGCAGAAATTAATCCACTGGCTGCTGTGTTAGTTCCCTGTAGCTGCTGTAACAAGTTATGGCAAATCTGTTTGCTTAAAACAACAGAAATTTATTCTATCACAGTTCTGGATGCCAGTAATCTAAATCAGTATCACTGGGCTGAAGTCAAAGTATCAGCAAAGCTGTGCTCCCTTCAGGGGCCCTAGGGGAGAATCTGTTCCCTGTCTCTTCCAGATTCTTGTGACTGCAAACATTCCTTGGCTTATGGCTGCATCACTCCAATCTCTGCTTCATATCACCTTCTCTTCTGTCTGTGCCCAGTCTCCCTTTGCCTTACTCTATAAGATTATATATAGGATTGCATTTCAGAACAGAGCAAGATAGTCTCTCCATCTTAAAATCCTTAATCACTTCTGCAAAAAGCCGATTTCCCTAAAACATTCACAGGTTCCAGGGATTAGCAAGTAAATATCTTTTCAGGAAGGAGGGAGGACATTTTTTCCGCCTACCCCAGCTGTCCAGGCACCAGATTTTATCTCAATGTTTCAAACTAAGAAACACAAACTATAGTTGATGGTAGAAGCTTGAAGTGAATAACTGTTTAGAGTTAGGTTTGAAGCAACCTCTTCCAGCAATATGCTCACTGATGAGTGAGCAGAGAAAGCCAGGAAAATGGAGCTGGAGCTGAGATGGCAGACTAGGAGGTTTGAGAAAGAGAGACATGGAGGAAGGGGCTGTCTTCCTCCAGAGATGCTCCCACTTTCCTTCCATTAATCTGCTTTACTTGGGCTATACTAAATTTTACTGATGGCGTGACTAAGATTTCTGGTTCCAGCTTTAATCTTGGGCACATTCCCACATCTTTCAGAGCCTCAGCCCCTCATCTGCAAAATGGGTACAATGATAGTACTTATCTTGCAGACTCTGAGGATAAAGTACCTTTATAATGCCTGGTGGTTCCAAAGGAGGTGCAAGATTGTCATGTGGCAGCCAGTCAGTGGCTTTCTAGAGAACTTTAGAGGGAGAGCTTTATAGAGTTATATGCTAAGATTCTCTGGTTGCAAGTGACAGAAATCTTCCCCGTATAAAACAGACATGGAAGTAATGGCAAGGATGTTTACTATCTCACAGAGTCAAATGGAAAGCTGAACAGCCAAGACTACAGAAAGACTTGAAGGATGGAAGCCCCAGGGTCCCCAGAGAAAAGAACTAAAGAGAAATTTCTCCAGGAGGCTGCTGTCAGAATGACTTGGTTCCAACTACAGTTGGCCCCTCCAAATCCATGAATTACATACACATTCACGGTTCTGTATCCATGGGTTCAACCAACTGTGGATCAAAAATATGCAAAGAATAAAATTCCAAAAAGTTTCAAAAAGCAAAACTTGAATTTGCCACGTGCTGGCAAATATTTACATAGCTTTTTACATTGTATTTACAACTACTGAAATAGCATTTACCTTGTATTGGGTATTACAAGTAGTCTAGAGATGATTTAAAGTATAAGAGAGAATGTGTGTGTGTGTTATATGTAAATACTACATCATTTTATGTAAGGGACTTGAGCATCCTTGGATTTTGGTATTGGGGAGGTTAATCCTCTGAGGATCTTGAGGGACGATTCCTACATGCTTTCCATCAAATTAAAGTTCCTGATAAGAGAAGCTGATTGGCCTGGGTGGGGCCGTATTCTCCCCTGGGGAGTGGGGAGAGCTGGCCCTCTGACTGACAGTTGCAAGACACCTTGGCTGCATCTAGTGGTCGGATTCATGAGGTCAGTCTAGGGGATGGAGCATCAGCTCTGTGGAGCAAGAATGAGTCCTATTACTTGTAAAGCTAGAAGTATAGTGATGTTTCAGTTACCCAACTAATGGTGATTTTACAAGGTCTGAACTTTTCATTATTTCCCTAAAGGGTCTAGGATTTTGCCCTGGATTTTTAGAATTCCTCAAGATGAGGGTGTGAGGATAGATGTCAAAGAGAGGGATGGAGAGAGGAAAGGGACTGAGGGGGAAGGGTGACAGTCTGGACAATACAAGAATTCTTAAAATTTTCAGCAACATCCTTGCAACTTCCATATAGTCTTCAAAACCCTATCTTTGAAACCTTCCCCAAGGACCACATCTACCCAGTTTTTGTCCCCACCCAGAGTGTTTTCCACCTGCCCCTGTTCAGGGTCCAAATCCCCAACATATTCCTACAGACACAAATCCCATGGCCAAAGCTCCTTTGTGCACTGAGAAGGGACCAGTAGCAAGGGAAAGAGTAAAGTGGGAAGGGGCAAGTGATGATGGGAGGTTCCTGAGGAAACCGCAGGAAATAAGATATGAAGTGGGGACACTGGCCATTGACAGGAGGGAGGCCTTTGTACCAGGAGGCAAGGAGTTAAAGATAGGTAGAATGTGGATAGGTTTTGAGGAGAGAATCAGTGGGCCTTCCTACTTCTTGGCCTCTCTCTTCTCCAAGCAATGGAAAGCAAGGTCATTGGCTGAGAAAAGGTAGGGTTGTTGGGAGCTGTAGGAGTGAGAAGTGTGAAGTAGCTGCTGGGGGCTGTGCCCATGGCTGTGATGCTCGAACCTGAAGTAGCCGGACAGACTGCAGCCACGCAGGAGAAGAGAAATCAGACGGGAAGCCAGGAAATGATTCCTGGTAGTTCCAGAGAAATATGGAAAACATTGGAAGGTGTGCCTGGAAGCCCGTGCAAGGCTGTCTCTGAGCAGAAGAACCTTGAGCAATGGTGAGGATGTTGACAGATGTGACAAAGCCCAGCCATCTTCCCTCCCATTTGGCTCGCAGTCTTCTCATTAGTCCTATGTGTCCCCACGGCAGACTGATGAGGGAGGCGAGGCAGGCGCCGACAGTCCGATCTTCTCTCTGTGTCAGCTGAGGCTCCAAAGTTATGGGTCTTGCCCAAGGCCACCCGATTTGTTCAATGCAGAGATGAGGCTAAACCCTGTGGTCGCTGGCAGCTGTGATGGTGGAAAGGCTC